GAGGAGATGGAGGCAGAGACGGAGGTGGGGTTAGTTGCCCGTTGTTATGGTTGTTACGGGGTTGACGAACCATAGTTCTACATTGAATAGGCCGAAAGGTTTAGCACAAAACAAAACAAAATAATCATAATTACGGAAGTCTAGAGTTCGCCTCTAAACACTAGTGTTCGATTAAATCAAGGTGGATAGATCCTAAGCCTCAATTCACAAGTTCAACACAAGTAATTTCATTACCACATGTTTATCATTTACATATCAAGTATTTTCATCAATACTTAAATCAACATACCTTAAGCAGCGGGGAGTGATGGAGACGAGTGGTCATTTTATAAGGTCTAAGCACATAATGACATATAAACCAGTCTACAGAAACGCAGACTGGCTCTGATACCATACTGTAACACCTCACTTTGATTTTAATGAAATCTCGGGCTTTCCAAAAATCAAGTAAACAATTTTCGAAATCATTTTCAAAAATACATGGGTGTTAAACAACAATTTACTTAGTCCATGTCTTATCTGGACTCACGGTGATTCCTAAACCCGATTTTTCACAATGGTTTTCATTAACCGGTTCCCAACACATAACATAATACTCAGCTTTAATCACATAGCATGCATAAATTTGAATTTCATAAATCCAAACATCATGAGTGATTCAAATCCAACATAAACCAAAACATAAGTTCGAAACGGATTTTCAACAAGTCTCAACATAGTTCATGATAATACGGAAGCAATAAAATAACTAAGGACCACCCACTCGTCTCACTTCGTCACCCGCCAACTGCTTAACCTGCATCCGTGAAGAGCAGGTGGAAATGAGCACAATGATAAAGTAGTGCTCACTACTATGCACATAACAACATGTAAAGATGGTATGGTCGCAGCATGAATATAAATCAATCATCATCATGTCTCATCTCCTAATAGTCACAAAAATAACTCATTCATGTGCACATCTATCATTAGTCGTGGAAAGGGGATGCATAAACCCTAACGACGGGAGTGCGTGCCAATGTAACGAAAGCGGCCTTTCATTAGGTCTTAAGGAGACTTGCCTCGCAAGGGCAACCGTACCGTAACTCGACGGGGACAATCGTACCGACGGCCGTAACAGCTCACATCGGTAGGCCACATGGATCACATTCATACATTGGTCATACCAACTAAACATTAATGAACACGTATGGCATAGACAATTTTATAAGTAAATCCACCTGGACGATAACAAGAGAAAGCACAACAATAACGGGTAGGTGGCGAGCTCAGCTCGTCAAGCAACTACATTTATTAAAATAGTCCTATAAATGAATATTCAACACATGAACAACTAATCATAACAATAAGATAGTCCAACTAAGCTCACATAAGTATATAATCAAGGAAATCCCATTTCCAAAATACCACGTACGTTTTTCAAAGCAGCGCTTTTGAAATCAACATAACTTTCAATACAAAACTCGGATGAACATAATTTAAGTTGGACTGAAATTCTAAGACATGCATCTACAATTCTTATGAATACACCGAAAGCAAATGAGGTCGTGTACTAGAAAATAAATCATCAAACATTCAAAACTGAGTTGCAGTAAAAAAAATCGAGAACTTGTAACCGACCAGACTTCAATATTTACTAGATAGCTGGAGCTACAAACATGTTTTTATTAAGATTCAAAATCCATGTGATAGCTAACTTAAATTTCTACAACTTTTCAGAAGACCACTATTGCAAATAATCACTTTATAAATGAGTTTGGACACAAAACATTCGGTTCATAATGTCTGCCCGAGACTAAAGTATGATATAAATAGCACCTCAGTATTTATCCTCTAAATTGTGCTACAGACCTCTAAATTATATGATTTTAGTATGTTTAGAAAGGTAAGAGATAGCCCTACAACGTTTATTTACAACACAATCAGATAAGGTCTTTAACATGGTGTAAAATCTACTAACATTTAGAATCAGTTTTCTGCCAAAGGTTCAACACTCGACTCATACATATTTTTAATCAATAGAACATAACTCGAGCTACAAACATCATATCAGCATGAATCTTATATAATTAAAAATATAAACAACAGACTTAAAAGTTTTATACAAATCACAAATTAATTTGAGCACATTAAGATGCCATAAACATGACAAACATTTATTAGTACATGCTGCCGGGTTTTCAAAAGTTGCTCGCGTACTCGTTTTATAAAAATCATAACTCACTCGATATAACTCGGATTCATGAAATTCTGAAGGCTAGAGAAAGATAACAAGACGAACTATATTTTATGAAGAACAAATTTTCAGAAAATAATTGCTTGAAGTCATAACAGAGGAACCTTACCTCCTTTAAGAAAACGAAAATGTGGAGAAATGAAAGAGGTGTTGCTCGGTTCTTCTACATCTCTCCCTATCTTGCTTGAAATCTGATTTTCTCTCTATTTGCTCAAGTTATTCAGGTTTTTAATGGTCTAGTACAGCTAAGGAATAAAACACAAGAACATGATAAGAGGGGACATAAGATCTAGATCCCATCTAAACCTAAAACTAATATTTTACCAACACATGATGCCAAAAGAGAGTAACATGGTTCTCTAACTCATGCATGAGTATGGATTCAGTTTTGGTACTTAGAATGGCTGAAAAAAACTTATTTAACTTTAGTTTTGATGCCTACTAAAAGGATTGAGAAGAAAATAAATTTTACGGAACCAAAATCGGACTTAAAATCTGACAATAATTGAAAACTGAAGAATTTGACTACAATAAATTTTTTTCCTCTTCTAATTCGGTTTTTATGGATAAAAATACTATTAAAGAGATGGTAATGTAATAGTCTTAAGGTCTTTTTGATTTGTTTTGATGTTCGGGTCGCAACGGTTCTAAAATGAATTCAAACGAACAACAATTCGGCTTACGCGATTAAACCGAAAATTCAAATGACGATTGATAAAATAAAATCGACCGAGCTATATATAAAATTATAGTATCCGTATAATAATAAAAATATATAATCACATAATCAAGGTATATATATATATTAAAATAAAATACCATTAATTAAAATAAACTCATAAAAAAATCTAATATTCGAACGGGGCGTTACAATGCTCGTCCTTCATTATCACCCACCTTTGATGGACTCATGCTCGTTCATTTTGTCCTCGACACTCAACAGCTCATCCTCCATAGCTCTTCAAGACTCGGGTCATTTTGTTGTTTCCTTCATCATTACCTTCTCGTTTGCTTTTAATCATCCCGAATTGATTTGGGTACAAATGGGGTTGTTGGACCAAGCCGGTAGCAATTTGGGCCGCCTATCCGCATAATGGGCTCCATGGAGCTGAATTAGACACCAAATGGGCAAGACAAGGCGCTGAACCGCGGCTGGGGGCTAATGGGCCACTCAAAAACATCATTGGGCCAGGCATAGGGCAGCAGCTGGATTGGACCGGGCGCGGGACCTACGCGGGCTGGGCGCGGGCCCACAAGGTCTGAAGCTTGAAAAGCGCACAGGCTTTACGGGCCGAACACGGCCCGCGCGCTGAGGCTGGTGGTGTGTAAGGCCTCCTCGTTGGGCCGACTATGTGGGCCGCAATGCTGGGTTGCGGACGCTGGGCCGCTCTGTGGGCGGACCGCGGATGCTGGGCTGCGATTTTGGTTGTTCTGGGCCGCCTCGCTAGGCCAGAGGCGGGTTGAGAGCAAGCAGATACTGCAACCGATCTGTGAGCTGCGCGATGGAATCTCACCGGCAAAAGCGATAGGATAAAGCTCACCAACTCCAGCGAACGTAATCGGTAGAGTGTGCGCCTCGACAAGCTGGTTCCAACAGTGCGCTCGGTTTGACGTGACTCACGTGAAATCGCCAAAAAATAGAGAAGATGACCGGAGTTGACAAATAATTTTCTACGTCCACAAACTTTAACCGGTAAATCGACAATTTTCCCGGTAGAAATTTTGCACGAAATTTAGTTGGTAAAACGAGCATAAGAAGAGCTTCGCGCTGGTGTAAGAATTTTTCAAATCAGTAGCTGGAGATTCGTCTCGTCGAGAGGATTCCGGTGGTACCTTCAGATTTTCCATAGCCCCTACGGATCGTTGGGAAAATACATTTGAATGCTCGATTTTGATCGAAATTTTTCGAGATCTGGAACCTTTGACCACTAAATTGACGGCCTTCCCGGAGGAATTTTTTCATGAAATTTTATGGGGAGATTCAATTTGAAGAGATCTTTCCAATGATGTAAACGATTTTCCGATCAGAGCAAGTTTTCCTGTGGCCGACGGCGGAGGTGGCGGCCGACGGTGGCGGGGGTGGCGGCGGCTGGTGGAGAGGAAGGAGGTTTGCTCGAAGATATATTGAAATTTTTCAGTCATAACTCCGCTTGACTTTTTGACAGGTCCCACAGACGGCGCCAATAATACGAGTGTAAATGAATTTCACCCAGCTCCTTCAACTCGAACGGCCTCCGTACCTGCAGAACCCAACGCTGGGGGTGGCCCCGGCGTCAGGCCTCCGATGCCTAAGTCAGTGCCCAGATCAATAGAGAGAGAGAGAGCGTAGTATCAAATGAATATAGAATAGAGAAAATAAGAGCATGTGATTCCTTAGCCCCCCATTTATAGGGGGAGTGTACCTTTTTGGGCTCAAGTTGGGTTTGGCCAATATTGTTATGCTCTAAGTCTTAATCCGTACGTAGGCTTATCTTCCAATATGTATTCATTCTTTCCGTTAAACCGGGTCTATTATAATATCCTATATCACTGTCACTGTCAATAGTCGAGTGTTGGTGTCCTTTTTCTTTCGGTTCTGCCTATAAGGATAAGGTTTGGTGTGATGTAGTACCTATGGATGACTGACATCTCTTATTAGGGCTTCCTTGACAGTTTGATAGGTCTATTCTACACGATGAGCGCCTTAACACATATTAGTTTTTACATGAGGCTGTCGACATTGTTTTACACCCGTCGGCTCCCCGTTAGCTCCCTTTGTCACAAGGGTCACCGGCATTACTCATTTCTCGCTTCGTACCGTGTGAGGAGTTATGTGGATCAATGGATGGTCGATCATTGGGTTGTGATGTGGGAGATATTATGTGGGCTGAGTTCGCTCCGGACGGTTGGATCGGCCCCTACGAGCTCGTCGATAAGCTCTTTCTGGATACCTTCCGTCTAAACTTTCTTTCTCATGTGCATTCGTTGGATGTTTTTCACGTATCGAATTTGGCCCCTTTGCATGTCTTTGACTTTGACGGAGACGAGACCTGTTCGGATTTGCGGCCGAATCCTCCTCAACCAAGGGAGGATGATGGAGACGAGACATCGATTGTGTTTCTAAAAAAATATGATAGGCTTCGTATTTATATTATTTATTTTCTATTATTATTGTTCCTTTTTGTAATATCCCGATATTTTGTCAGTATAAATTATGTTTAGTTCCGATATAATAATGTTATCGATTATTATTGTCGGAATTAATTATTTTCAGTCGAGATTACCAAAAATTATTTTCGGCGTATCGTTTACGTTCGGAATGATTTTAGTAATTAAGCATTATGTTTAATTAAATAATTAAACATAATTTAAGGCACTAATTAGTAATTAATCATTGATTAAGCATCAAAGCCAAATGCAAGTAAAGCCATACGGTATGCCTTATATTAATTCCTAAGTTGGTAAGTATTTTCCTAAGTCTTAAGGAACTAATTTCTTCCAACTCTTTAACTTCACACGTGGCATAATGAGGAGAGTTTGAGGAGTATTAGTCATACTAAAGCATTCCAATTAAGAGCAAGTGTTGAGTACACATAAGGCCACGTTAAGCCATCATCATCACCCCAACTTTGTAACTCCATTCGGCCTTCTCTATATAATGGATGTAAAGTTGGGAAAATTTCCATTTTTCCATAAGCAATGTTCAAGCCTTAAAGTTCAGAATATAAAATCAGCAAATTTCCTTAAATTTTCTTACCACACGCACGGTTAGTAGAGGCACGTCAAGTAAGAGCATCGCACGGCAATAGGCTATCGCACCCGGCACGCACACGCAAGGTCTCGAGCGATTTCGATATTCCGACGAGTACTTAAGAAGGTATAGTCATCCTCGACTTATTTTTATGGCCATAAGTTCAATTTAGGCTAAAGTGTTCGAATCATGTTCAAGAATTCTTAGTATTGCCGTGTTAAAGTTCGAATATGTCAAAGTCAAATCGTGATCGAGTAACTTCTTGTTTTACCCGACAACTCACGAACCATTCATGTTTAAATGATCAGTTTACCTCATTTTATGTTCAGTCACTCGATGATGGTCGAGGAAAAATGTTGTTTTATGTGTTAAATGGCCCAAAGCCGTCGCCAGCGCTCATCGCGCGTGGCCACGGGCAGCACCAAGTCACGTCCTATTACTTTCAGTGATGGTCATGTTCTCTCGTGTGATTGTGTCTTAATAGCCTTTAAATAATGTTTCATGTTTATATGGTCGGGAGTTGCCGAGAGAAAAGGTGTTTTGGTCGAGAGACGGCCTATCGCCGTCGGCGGCGCACGGCGCGCCCGCCTCGATCCCATTCAATTGACCGTGTGAAAAGTGCTATTTTCAAGTTATTTCTATAACCATGTTCATATTAAGTCATGTTATGTTGCTTGAGGTCATGGTTGCCGAAGGTATTCACCGGATGGCTGGTGAAGGCCGGGTATGGACACGCTGCCGCACATAGCGGCAGCAGCGTGTTGGCTGACAGGTAGCGCCGACTGCCAGTGCATGCGCCTGTCCGCGAGCTGCGACACTTAGTCAATCGCGGTAGCAGCCAGCAGTCAGTAGTGCGCACGCCAACACCCCGTCATGCATGTCAGCGTGCAGTAACGCACGATAGCGCGCAACAACGCGTGTTAAATGGTCGCACGCAGCGTCGCCTAGTGCACGCCCTCGACTCGGTAACGCCCAGCGGCACCGCAGCAACGCGCCAGCGCGCGCCAGCACGCGTGACTGTGCGCAGTGCCGCGGGCAGTCCACCAGTTAGCCCAGCGG